CACACCCTATAAGAGCATGTCACTAAAGGTAAATGGAAAATACAAAGAACTTCCAAATATAAAAATGCTCATTCTTTTTGGTTTTGATACTACTCTTTTTTTTTTCTAAAATGGGTTATTTGCTCATTCTTTAATATGTTTTACTAGAGCTGAGGGTCCTTGGGAAACAACCCCTCTACCTTCACAAGGTAGGAGGTAAGGTCCCAGACCTCACTTGTGATATTACACATGGTATGTTGTACATATTAACAAGTAAAATCGTGGATTTAATAATTTACAAAGTTCTACCAACAAGAAGGCATCTTTATAGAATAGACTAATAAACAAAAGACTGTTGAGATTAATAATATACACAACTATCAAGAAGGAACAAGCAGAAATGAAAAACAATCAAGCCAAAAAAGCACTTCATCAGTTCTGAATGTGGTGTTTGGGCCAACTTTCACGCACTTCGACTAATTCCACGAGATACCTGCCACCTCCCACTAGCAACAAGTACTAAGTGACTCTGTCACGAGGTTAAGACAGAGGAGGAAGAATCACCTAGTGTTTTTTGTCCCCTGTGGGCATCATAACCTAATATCTCATGGTTCTCAATCACTTCATTAACCACCAAGCCACACCCTTAGCTGCTATATGACACTTTTATAGGAGTCACATATTTTATTCGACTATAAGTTATTGACTTTTGTCTCTTTCTAGTTGTTTAGATAAATTAATTAAGGAATAAACAATCACGCACACCAAAAATTGAACAATCCCACTGATGTAATAAACAATATATAGGAATCAATTAAGATATACATGAAGATCCTCTTTAGCAGTCTTATCTTCAGCTTTAGGAACCTCCACATGGCGCTTGCAGTATTCGACGACTTTGGCTAAGATCTTGCTAGTAACGTTGGGTATATGGATGGTGGTGTTAGCGCAGTCATCCTCTATCATATGTTTAATTGTCTCTGATTCTAGCGCCACCGCCTCATCGACCTCAAAGGTCTATCCGTCGAAGCTCCTCAAAATGATCATCTTTGAAGGAGAATTATGAACCGATCGACAAACCCTAATTGTAGGTTAGAGAGAAGGAAAAGAGGCAAGAGTGAGAAAACCTTGTAGGATTTGCTACTTATATTACTTTTATTTATTTATATTTATATTCATTTTTTATATTATCCCTTATTTAGAAATGATAGCTTCTTGGACTAACACGGCATTACAGAATTGGACCAAAAGCTATTTAGATTATACTGTGATGCATTTAACATTTTGCTATTTGTGGCCCTATTTGATTGGCTATTAAATTTCATTTATTTTTTGGGAGACATCTTTATTCTGAAATATCACACGTGTCTTTATTTGCTTATTCATTATACTTACTACAAAATATAGACCTTGGCTTTCTCTTTCCACTTCCCACAAGTTCAAATATCTCTTCATCTACTTAAAGCTCTCTTCATCTTCCATTTTCTGAAAGTGTTGCTGCAGTTTAAGGTATTTCTTCTCCCGTTGTTCTTCTTCGTTCTTCAATTTTCTTTGTGCTCAAATGATAAAATGAGAATGGCAGTTTTTATTATGTATTTTGATTCTCTTTTTTTGTTTCTTAGAATATGTACACTTAGCTATTTAAACCCCAATGGCTAAAAGGAATAATCAAGCTAAGGTTCTCTAGATTTTCTTTTCGTTTGTCTTACTTTCGAACATGATATCAGAATCAGCGTAAAACTTAATCTTCTGTGCAACTACCAGCGGAGAAGAAACTCCTATCCACTGTGCATCATTCCAATGACTGTGCAACAATTAGTCAGAATCAGCAGGCATTGAGCCTCAACCAATACCACCACTGTGTTTGGAACTCTTCGGCAATCCAACCCAAGAAAACCCAATCAGACTCTTTACGTGTTGTCACACGCCGGGGAGAAGTCTCATTTGCCGGTGAGATATACCCATGTGCCGGTTCGTGCGAGGGAGTCCAGTGACTCTTTGGCGACATTCTTCTGTGGAACTCGCCTCCTCAATTCAACATCACCCATCCAAGTTCCACTGCTTTCTGATAACTTTCCACAAGGCAGTCCACTTCTCCGGCGAGTACTGATACATGATTTACATAGGGGAGATAAATGATAGAATTCGTTAGGGATAACATGTCAACATTCAGTTGGTTATGTTAGTTAGGAGTTTTTGAATACACGAAGGGCGGGAAAGTTTGTTAGTGGCAGTTGGCCTCATCTAAGTTAGATCTGATCCAAGTACAGCTATACAGAGAAGTAATCCTCTATTGATTGATCATGAATACATTTACATTTGTCTCAATTACATTCTTCTTCTTCTACAATTCTCATCCCCCATTTGTCTCAATTACATTTCACTCGAATTACTCTGTAGAGTTCCTGTTTTAGCTTAGAATTCTCGAGCTTACAGTTGAGCTCCTGGAATTCTGTTAACAGTGGTATAAGAGCTATTGAATCCTTGGCATCAATGGCGAAGGGAACTATGGCAATTGGAGAACCAACCAGTGGAACCCCTACTTTAGAGGTAGGAGAATTGTGAGATGATGCAGAAATTGGAGTTTTAGTCGGAAAAGTTTCATCTCTGAAAAAATTGGACCAACCAGTAGTTGAATTGAAGAATCAATTAGCAGCTTCTGGGGAGACTCGAAGGAATAAAACCCCATAGGAATAGGAGTAAGGTCCTTTCCGGAATGGCCATTAAGAAGAAAGAGTACAAAGGGAAAGAGAGAGAAAGGAGTCCTAACAGTTACAATTCTCACCACTCGAATTGCTTTATGGTTAAGATTCAAGAATGGAGGTCTTGCGATTTAATGGAGAAGATCTGAAGTCATAGTTGTTCAAGATTGAAGAATAGTCATCTCATTGAGACTCTCATTCCCTATTCATACAATCTCATATTTGTTGAGTTTTTTCGGGCAGCAATTTTCATATCCTATTATCTTATTAATCGTATGCCATCCTTAGCTATCCAGAATATTATGTTTTCTTTCCCTTCCATGTTGTGTCTTCAAGAGCATGTGGTTTGTTCACAACCTTACTCCAGAAATAATAAGTTAGTTCCTTGTGCCCTTAAATGTGCATTTCTAGGTTACTAGAGGACACAAGAGGGATATCGATGGTATTCACCGGATCTTCAACGGTGCCTTATGTTTGTTGATGTTACTTTCTTTGAAACCCAGCCATACTTCACCAATCCAGGTGATCACTTAGACAATTTTGAGGTTGTTACAAATTCCATCTTTTGGAGATTCAATAACTATCTTCCCTTCATCATCACCTACACCTCCATTTCCCTTACCTATAGCTCCAGTTCAATCACCTACAACTCTAGTTCAACTTTTCAACCTTCTACAACTCCATCATTCTTGATTTATTATCGCCTTCAATGTCCAACATCACGTACAAAAGATTCAAGTCTTAAACTGAATCCTTAGCCTACTAGGGACTTGTCTTTCCCTAGTCCACCAATTGCATTATGAACAGGTATTCAGTCCACTCGTAATCCCTATCCCCGTTATACTTGTTGAGCTATCAAAGTTTATTATCATTTCATTATTCCTTTGTGTAATCATTGTCTTCTATTTCTATCCCTGAGTCCACAAGTGAAGCGCTATGTCATCCTGAATGGCGACAAGCTATGGTCGAACAGATCAAACTTTGTTGTTCAGCATTGAACAAGCGCCATCCCTTAGAAGGTATTGTTAAAAGATCTCAATTCCTAATGAAATGGATGTAGCAGTAGTTTGTTGGAGCCCAGAGTTTTTACTTGATCCACGATATGTAATGTATTTTTTTACATGCTAGTGGCACTTGGAAGCTTGTTCCTTTACCTCCAGGTAAATCACTTGTTGGTTGTCGGTGTTTGTATCCAGTCAAAGTTGATTCAGATGGTCAAATTGGCCGACTTAAAGCCCACATTGTTATCAAAGGTTATCTCATTCAAATTTCACACTGAGCTTTTGATATATGCGTCCCAGTACTATACTCAAATATTTAGACTTGATTATAGTGATACTTTCTCCCCATGGCTAAAATAGCATTTTTTGCCTTCATATATCCATGATTGTTGTTAGTTACAGTGTTCAGGGAAGCGTTAAGCGGAAAAAAACAATAAGTCCCCGCTTCACGCTTTAAGCGATGAAGCGCTCACATACTCATTCTAGTCTGTGAAGCGTAGAAGGCTCGCATCGCTTCGCTTCATCGCTTTAAGCAATGAAGCGCTCGTTTTCCTGAACACTGGTTAGTCATTAGCCTCTTTATTAGCTAGACATTAAGAAAGCTTTTATCCATCGTGATATTGCTTGGCGGAGTCTGAGGTCTTGTATGCCAGTTGTGTCAATCCAATATGGTTTGAAATAGACCCTTGAGCACAGTTTGATAAGTTCAGCATGGTCATTCAAGAGGTTGGTATGACTACGTATGAAATTCAAAAAACATTCATAACTGGCACTTGAGGAGGTCAATCTTAAGTGTTGGAAGCTACTGCTAAGGGACTCCCCCTCATCTAGAAAGGATAGGCAATTGAGAGAGAGTGAGGCCAATCATTTTGTATTGTATAGACATACTTCTTATAATTTGAAGGGGAGCCTTGGAGTAACTGATAAAGTTGTTACCATGAGATTAGGAGGTCATGGGTTCAAAACTTGGAATCAACCTCGGGCAGAAATGCAAGGTAAGACTGCGTACAATAGGCCCTTATGGTTAGGCCCTACCCCAGACCCTGCGCATAGCGGGAGCCTTAGTGCACCGGGGTGCCCATTTTATACTTATTATTTTTGCTTTTAAATTGAATCAACATCTCTTCCAACATTTCCAGATGAAGGACCTAGGCATATTGAAGTATTCTCTAGGCATTGAGGTCACACCTCCAAATTAAGAATTGTCATCTCATAGTGTAAGTTTGCCCTAGATATTCTTAAGGAGATAAGTATGACAAGTTGTAGACCCATTGATACTCATATTGACTTGTAATAGACAAATATGATAGGTTGTTACCTTACAATGCCTTCAGGATCAAAAGCAGCATGACACCAAGAGGGCATACTCTCAGAAACTGTGTCACTGTTGGATCCATTGCATTCCTGTGAAAGATTAATATTGGTCATGAAGGGGCTAACTGTGAGGTCTGGACATAAGCATGTCAGCGGTGCAGTTCAGTATAAAGTTACCTTCATATTTCTATATACAGGTTTTGCATAGAGTGATCTATTCCAAGAATATAGCGATCAATCATTCCAGCAGAAATACATGCAGGTCTAAGATCTCCTCTAACAGAAATTTTACCTGCAAGTAGCAACAAAATTTACCATCTTATATTACAAATATAAGATAACTGATAGAAAAAGTTCTCCAACTTGATCAATTAGGAATAGAACTGATCATACACAAAGTGGTAACAAGGGACCAGTCATTTTTAAGGTTCTATTGGATTAAAGTAATAATAAGCTTCTATAGGATAAGAATTGATCACAAAAGTTCTTGACTTTGAGCAAGCGTTTTACATGCTAAATCCAAGGTAGAAAAATTAGTACTAATATCACTCAAAGCAGTAATGACTCATCACATTCATCTTTAAGCTTCTGTAGAGTTCTTAATGTGTTACTTGGAGCCACTCACATAGTCACATTGTTTTACTTTTTAGAATATAGTTCAGGGTAAGGAGAATAGAAAGCAAACAGTTGCTAACCACATAAATGGTGCTTCCAGTTGACTGCAACACACTGAATTGCCAGTCAGGGACATACAGGCCATATAACAACCCACAATGTGTAGCAGACAATAGGAACATGATACACCTACAAATACACCTACAAATGAAGTAAAATGTTGTTAGGTAAAACTAGAGACAAAGGTAACCATAGAGGACAAGAAGCAATACTATACAAAAAGAAGATTGATAATAAGACTGCCAATATCATTGCAGTTGGACTCACTAGTTTTCCAATAAAAACACACAAATTTCTCCTGTTTTGCCTATTTAACCACCTGTTTATAACTAATGAGGCCTAGTCCAAGTAGTTAGGTTGAGACCTTGTACCAACATGTCATGGATTTGACTTCCACCAGCGACAAGCTAGATTTTTATCTAATTTAAAGGGGATTAATGCCTACTTGCGAGAAGTTCGTTTTTTTTCATAATTGTTAAATGAAGTTCACAATATGCTTAACAAGACACACTTATGGTTCCACTCAGGGGCGGATTTACGTTGAACCAAGGGGGTTCATCTGAACCCCCATCGTCGAAAATTTACACTATATATATACGATTAAAATTTTAATTTATGTGTATATATATAATATTGAACCCCCTGAACATACACCAAAGGCGTAGCTCAATGGAGTTGTGGGTTCAAGAATTCACGCTGCTGCACGCAAGGTCGCGTGTTCGAATCTGAACAGAGGCTTAATTGTTTTTTTAAAATAATAATGGAGTCCGAAAACGACTTTAGTTCCAAATAATTAAAACCCTGATATGGAATTTAGGATTTATTAGTTTAATCCCTAATTACAAAGTTAACTATTAAAATACCCTTTTCTTCTTTTAGGATTTTTTCATCGCTCTTCTTCCTTTTTAGATTTTTTTCATCGCTCTTCTTCCTTGCTGGGCACTGGCTGCTGCTTGCTGCTTCTGTTGGATTGGTCATTATTGAAAACTTGAAGTCTATATCCGCAATCGTTTCTTTCACCTCCATTAATAACACTTCGGTAAGTTTTTGGTTCCCTTTTTTCTTACTAGATTTCTATATACCTTATTTCGTTATTTCTTGATGTGCTTTCTTTTAGTTGGCTGAATTATTGATATCATTGAAGTTTCAATTTTTTTGTTTGGCTAATTTAATATATGTTCTTAATCTAAAATTGGAGAGATAGAGAAATATAATTTAATAATCAAATAACCATTGCTTAAGCTTTTTGGTTTTGGTCCTTATTGTGCGTATGCTTTTTTTTTAATAGTTCTTATTGTGTGTTTAATTCTCTTAAATTCTAACTAAACTTTTACTTTACAATCCAGTCTTAATATTCAATGAAGAAGTAGTGGTAATAAGAAGAATAGCTGTTTACAGAAATCAAATATAATGTAGGCAAACGGTAGTTTCTGAACCAGGCCTCTCTTACATACGAGCAATTTTCTGAACAACCATCTGAGGTAGTTATAATCTTTACATTCATACAGAATTTAGCATAGTAACGGCAATTAGTACCAAGTGTTCCAAAAGAAATGGTTTAAAGTAGCAATGGCAGCAGTCATGCAATACATACAAGTCATCTGAAAATCAATTTCCTGATTTTAAAACTTAAAACCAAAATCTAGGTTCCCAGTTTGATGATTCTTCCAGACAACAAACAAGTTGGTAGAGAAGATAATATTTACCGGTTGGGATAAGTAGAAAAAAACAATGAAGCATCCATTAGCAGAAGTAATTATACAAGTGGTACCTTGGGACTGGTAAAGGAGGCAAGTCCTGCCATTGCTTGGTTTTGGTGTCAAGAACAAAATTGCGGGCAGTAGGACCCCGGCACTGGGGACCGTACTGTCCAGTAACAACATAAATGTATCTCCCATCAGTTACCATACCCAAGTGTGAATGAGCCATTGCTTAAGCTTTTTGGTTTTGGTCCTTATTGTGTGTTTAATTCTCTTAAATTCTAACTAAACTTTTACTTTACAATCCAGTCTTAATATTCAATGAAGAAGTATTTTACCCCAATATCGAAATCAAGTTTAGCCTCTCATAGTCATAGTCAATCTAACCAACAAGAAAATGTCAATCATTCTGAAGTACCATCACATTCTTCTCAAGAATTTGATTTGAGTACTTTAAAGTTTGATCCCGGTGAAAGAACTCCAATATTGAATTATCATCCAAATCATCGTGATGTTATTAGAAGGGCATACCTTGTGAATGGTCCTTGTCAACCTCGCTTGGAGGTGCATGAGTACCCTCAAACAAATATTTCTGGAGCAATGCGTCATTTTAATCATGAATGGTTTGATGATGTATATCATAATTGGTTGGAGTACAGTGTTAGTAAAGATGCAACCTATTGTTTGTATTGCTATCTATTTAAAGATCATAATATTAATCAAGGTGGAGGTGAAGTATTTTCATGTACATGATTTAACAATTGGAATAAAAAGAGTGGTCTTGACAAGCATATTGGTCTACAGAATAGCCCACATAATCGATTAAAAAAGAAATGTCAGGATTTACTACGACAACAACAGTCGATTCAATCTGCATTTGAGAGACAATCTAATCAAATTAAACATGGATATTATATCCTCTTAAGTGTTTCGATTGATGTAGTAAGACTTTTCATAACTCAAGGACTCGCATTTCGAGGTCATGATGAATCTAAATCATCACTTAGTAGGGGTAATTTTCTTCAGATTCTCTCATGGTATGCAAAAAGGTGTGATAAAATTCGTGATTATGTACTTGAACATGCCCCTCAAATTGATCAAATGACTTCTCCAATAATTCAAAAAGATATTGTGATTGCATGCAAGATAGAAACAGTTAAAGCTTTTCTCGAGGAACTAAATGGTGACTACTTTGCCTTACTAGTTGATGAATCTTTTACTATTTCACGCAAGGAGCAAATGGCTATTGTATTACGATATGTTGATAGAATGGGATTTGTGATGGTGCGACTTATTGACATTATTCATATTCAAGATACTAGTGCATTATCCTTGAAAGAGACAATTATTAATTTACTTGCTCAACATTCTTTGAGTCCATCACGTGTGCGTGGACAATGTTACGATGGGGCAAGCAATATGCAAGGTAAGGTCAATGGACTTAAAATGTTGATTAGGCAAGAAAGTAGATCGGCTCATTCTATACATTGTTTTGCTCATCAACTTCAACTAACTCTTGTTGGGGTCTCTAAAAAGTGTGTTGAAGTGGGAAAACTTGTAGTATTGGTCTCAAATATTTTTAATGTATGGGATCTTCTTTTAAGCGTATGGATGATTTACGAGATTCTCAAAAAGCAACAATTCAAGATGCATTAGATATGGGTGAACTGACAACCGGTAGGGGCTTGAATCAACAACTTGGTCTTTCAAGAGCTTGTGATACTCGTTGGGGATCTCATTATAAATCCTTTACAATTTTATTCTTATGTTTGACTCTATTGTTGAAGTTCTTGAATCACTTGCTCTTGATGCACGAAGTATGGATGAAAGAGCCAAGGCAATGGGACATCTTGAATCTTGTCAAACATTTGAGGTTGCGTTCATGTTGCATTTGATGAGAGATGTATTAGCAATCACAAATGAGCTCAATAAATGCTTACAAAGAAAGGAGCAAGATGTTGCAAATGCCATGCTACTTGTTGAAGTAGCAAAGAAAAGGTTGCAAGTTTTAAGGGATGATGAATGGAATTCTCTTATTGCTAAGGTATCTATATTTTGTACCAAACATGAAATTTTGATACCTAACTTTGAGGAGCCATATGTTAGCTCTTTAAGATCACGGCGAAGACTTGCTCACTATACACTCTTCAAGAGCTTAATGATCGTTTTAATGAGGTAGCTACTGATTTGCTCTATGGAATTGCTTGTTTGAATCCAATTAACTCGTTTTCAAGTTTTGACAGCAAAAAAATAATGAGGATGGCTGAATTATATCCAGATGATTTTGATGAATATAATATGGATACTCTTGAGAATCAACTTGCAAGTTACATTGTTGATGTTCGTGATGTTGATGAAAGGTTCTCTGATCTAAATGGACTTTGTGATCTTTCCAAAAGATTAGTCCAAACAAAAAAGCATTCAAATTATCCTCTGGTGTTCCGCTTAGTGAAACTTGCTCTACTTCTACCAGTTGCCATTGCATCCGTTGAAAGAGCTTTCTCGGCAATGAAGTTTATCAAGAATGACTTGCGAAGTCAAATGGGTGATGACTTTTTTAGTGGTTGTTTGGTGCCTTTTGTAGAAAAAGATGTATTTGATAGCATTCCTAATGATGCTATTATTAAGACATTTCAAGATATGAAACCTCGTAGAGAACAATTGTAATGATCTATTTAAGTTTTTAGATATATGTGCTCTAAATTAATTTTTTTTTATCCGACCCATTTATATTCGATTCAACCCATTTATTTGTGGATATTATTTACGTGATTAATTTTTTTTTTGAACCCCCTTGATGAAAATCCTCCCTCCGCCATTGGTTCCACTAAGGAAAAGAATCTAGCACGCGAGTAATACCTTCATGATGCAGAAACAGAAGATATATGTAGTACTCCTAACAATTGCACAATCAAAACAAAAAATATACCTGAAAATCAGGGATGTAGTTGTCTTACCATTGGCAAATATAATTTCTTTTTTTTTGAGAAGCTAACAACTTGTATTCTATTCCAAAACAAAAACTAGAACCTGCTACAACAAATTACAGGTTCCTAATTACAATTGTGGAGAGTAGCAGGAAGATCTTTAATCCTATAGCAAAATTTATAAGGAACCTAAAACTGATTCTAGATCTACCATGTACTCCTGTTTACACCAAAAAAGAAACAAAACCAAGCAGTTCATTTTAATCTTCTGGATGGAATTACTCTTGTTTTGAAAGCATCTGAGATTTCTTTCTTTCCGCACAGACCACCAGATGCAAGCCGAAATGATTTTCCATCTTTCTTTATGCCCGGTAATGCTTGCATAACTGCTCCATAACTTCAGAGTCTGCGTAACTTTCCTACGCATAACCCATTTCATGCCCTTCTAATTGATAAAAACATTCCACAAAATGTTGGTTATTCTATAGTGAAGGAAGAGATGGTTGACAGTCTCTACTTCTTCTTCACCACATAGAAGGCACCTAGGACTCCGTTGAATATTTCTTTTCATAAGATTTTCCCGGGTCAAAACTGCCTGCTTAGCAAGGAGCCAAGTAAAACAAGACACTTTGTAGGGAATTTTAGTAACAGTCAGAGGATTTTAGTTTTCCATATCAACTTTCTTGGCCACCCATTCCTCTGACTGTTACAAGGATTAAATTTTTTGTACGCTCTTCTAACACTGAAATTGTCCCGATTGTGATCCTGCCATCCCAAACTATCTTGTGCATCAATAGTTCCTTTGAACTTCCCCAAGACCTTGTAAAACTCCACCAACCTTTGGATCTCCCAATCATTTAGAGGTCTTCTAAAACTCAGATTCCACCCTAGGTTTGACCACCTCTCCGCTACAGTGGACCTTTGCTCTTGGTTTAGGGTGAAAATATCCGAGAACAAGGTTTTTAAAGATCCTTGTTCTAGCCATCTATCTTCCCAAAAAGAGGTTTTCCTACCGTTACCCAATTTGATACTGCAGTTTCCTCTGAGCTTTGGCCAATGGTTTTTGATGGCTCTCCAATGGCTTGATCCGTAAGTGCTAGTGACCATTTTTGTTATCCAGAGATCCTCCATTTCATATTTGGCCTATATTACATCTTTCTACAGAGCTTGCTCACTGGAAGCAAATCTCCATAGCCACTTCATCATAAGTCATTGGTTTTGAATTTTTAAATTCCTTATCCCCATCCTCCCTGCCTGTTTACTCTCAATCAGAGTATCCCACTTTACCAAGTGTAATTTCTTGGTTTCACTATTTCCTTCCCACAGGAAGTTCCTCCTCAAAGCATCAAGTCTGTCAATAACACCATCAGGAATAAGGAAAAGTGACATCATATAGATAGGCATAGAGTCCAAAACACTTTTGATGAGTGTTAATCTTTCCTCCTAAAGAAAGGTACTGACTCTTCCAATTCGCCAACCTTTTTTCACATTTTTCAATCACCCTATTCCAAATGCCTATAGATTTGCTTTTGGCTCCCAAGGGCATCCTTAAGTATGTAGTTGGTAGGTCCCTGTTCTTCCGCCCAAAATCCTAGGGATACAAGAAACTCTTGTTCCAATTGATGCGAAGCCCCGAGATAGCTTCAAAAAGAACAAAGATTACCCTATTAAAATCTTGAGTTGGTTCTTGTTAGCATCACAGAAGACAAGTGTCATCTGCATATTGTAAGTGAGTAATCTCCAGATCATCCCCCACTCTACTGGATACCCTAAAACCTCCCAGCCACAACTCTTCTTGAGCTATTTTCAACATATCATTTAACCCCTCCATAGCGATAATAAAAAGAAAGGGAGTTAATGGATCTCCTTGTCATAAACCTCTTTGTGAAGAGTAAAAACCTGTAGGAGAGCCATTTATTAGAACTGAGAATTTCACAGTGCTGATGCAAAACTTCATCCATCTTAACCATCTACCTCCAAAACCCCTTTTACAAAGAGTCTCCAACAGGAACTTCCAATTGAGGTGGTCATAAGCTTTTTGAATGTCCACTTACATAGGATGCCTGGGGCACTGCTTCTAGTTCTAGCATCAACACACTCATTTGCCATAAGAATGGCACTTGACATGGAAGCCATATCTCGCACAAAGGTGCTACAATATATCCAACAACCATTCTCTGCACAAATGAAAAGAAATGTATACTCTTCTGAACAAGTAATAGAAATGAATAGGTTACATGTATAAGTTCTTCATCTGCACCTATCTTTTGACCTAATGACTAGTAATCCTTCTAACAAGAAAATGAAAACTTCTTATAATAATCAGGAAACCAGATTAAGATGCTACTCTTGAAGAATCAACATCTATCACAAAAATAGCTAAATAGGAAGTTAATCCAAAGTACTTCACTGAAACTAAAAAGAACAACAAGAGAAATACCTTACAGGCTAAGGCTCGAACAAGGGGCACAAGTGAAAGCAGTCTTTAGAAGTCTAACTAAGAAAGACTTCCGAACCACTTAGGAAGGATAAGAAACATACCTACAAAGCAAAAAAGTCATTGGAGGCAATGCGACGACACTCATCTCAACTGGCAATGCTACTGAAACTGAAACTACACTTATCTTGTAGCTAATCTAGTCATCTCATACCATGGTAGCAAAAAAGCTAAAAAACATAATATCAGAGTTACCTGCAAAATTCCCATCCATTGTATTCTTTCAATATCTACACCATAGGTTAGACCAGTTATTCCATGCAAGTAACCCCTTGAAACGAAACAAATGTGGAACTGGAATCACAATTGTCCAACAACATCAAGTTTAGATATCTCATACAAGAAAATGATATACCATGAACAAAATCAGAAGACAACAGTAGTGTTGGAATCTCGTAAATACTCTAGGATCTTGTAATATAGTATAACTTGATTTACTCCTGAAATTATGTATTTTGATTCTCTTTTCTGTTTCTTAGAATATAAACACTTAGATATTTCAACCTCAATGGCTTGAAGGAATAATTAAGTTGATGTTCTCTCAATTCTCTTTTCATTTGTCTTACTTTCGAACATGATATCAGGGCCAGTGTAAAACTTAATCTTCTGTGCAACTACCAGCGGAGAAGAAACTCCTGTCACTGTGCATCATTCCAGTGACTCTGCAACAATTATTCAAAATTTGGAGGCATTGAGCCTCAACCAATACCATCACTGTGTTTGGAACCCTTCGGCAAACCAACCCCAAAAAACCCATTATCATCAAACTATTCACGTGTTGTCACACGCCGGGAAGAAGTTTGTTTTTCCGGCGAGATTAACCCATGTGTCGGTGAGTGCGAGGGATTCCAGCTACTTTCTGGTGACATTCATTCTTCCGTGTAACTAGCCTCCTCAACTCGACATCACCCATCCAAGTTCACGGCTTTCTGACAACTTACCAACTAGGCAGTCCACTTTTCTGGCGAGTACTGATACATGATTTACATAGGGGAGATAAGGGATAGAATTCCTTAGGGATGACATGCAAGCATCTCAGTTGGTTATGTTAGTTAGGAGTTTTTGAATACACTAAGGGTGGGAAAGTTTGTTAGTGGCAGTTGGCCTCAGCCAAGTTAGATCTGATCCAAGTACAGCTATCTCGAGAAGTAATCCTCTATTGATTGATCATAAATACATTTATATTTTTCTCAATTGCAATCCTCTATTTCTATATTTCTCTTCCCTCATTTGGCTCAATTACATTTCACTTGAATTCCTCTGGAGGTTTCCTGTTTTAGCTTAGAATTCTCGAGCTTCCAGTTGAGCTCCTGCAATTCTGTTAACAGTGGTATCAGAGTTATTGAATCCTTGACATCAATAGCGAAGGGAAATACTAAGGCAAATGGAGAACCAACCAGTGGAACCCCTACTTCAACGATAGGGGAATTGCGTGAGATGATGGAGAATATGATAGCAGAAATTGGAGATTTAGTAGGTAAAGTTTCATCTCTGAAAAAATTGGATCAAACAGTACTTGAATTGAAGAATCAATTAGCAGCTTCTAGGGAGACTCGAAGGAATAAAACCCCATTGGAACAAGAGTTAGGTCCTTCCCGAAATAGCTATTAAGAAGAAAGAATACAAAGGGAGAGAGAAAAGAGTCCTAACAGTTACAATTCTCACCATTCAAATTTCACTCAATGGTCAAGAATGGAGTTCTTGCAATTTAATGGAAAAGATCTGAGGTCATGGTTGTTCAAGATCGAAGAATAGGCACCTCATTGAGACGCTTGTTCCCTATTCATACACTATCATAATTTGTTGCATTCAGGGATGCAGTTCTCATATTCTATTATCTTATTAATCGTATGCCATCCTCAACAATCCAGAATATTATGTCTTCTTTCTCTACCTCCTCGTGTCTCTGATAGCACGTGGTTTGTTCATAACCTTACCCCAAAAACAATAAGTTAGTTCCTTGTGCCCTTAAATGTGAATTTCTAGGTTACTAGAGGGCACAAAAGGGATATCGATGCTAATCGCCTGATCTTCGGCAGTTCACCAATGCCTTATGTTTGTTAATGTTAATTTCATTGAAACCCAGCTATTCTTCACAAATCCAGGTGATCGCTTAGACATTTCTGAGGTTGTTAGTAGTTCTATCTTTTGGAGATTCAATCACTATCTTCCCTTTCATCATCACCTACAACTCCAATTCCCTTACCTATAGCTCCAGTTCTATCACCTAAAACTCCAGTTCAACTTTCAAACTTCTACAACTCCACCACTCTTGATTTATCATCACCTTCAATGTCCAACATCACATACAAATGATTCACATCTTATAATGAATCCTTTGCCTACTAGGACTTGTCTTTCCCTAGTCCACTAATTGCATTCCAAAAGGCTATCCAATCCACACTCGTAATCCCAATTCCCATTATACTTGTTTGAGCTATCATCATTTATTAACTTCATTACGCCTTCGTGTGATATTTGTCCTCTATTTATATCCCTAAGTCCACAGGTGAAGGGCTATGTCATCCCCAATGGCGATAGGCTATGATTAAAGAGATGTATTCTTGACACGCTAGTGGTACTTGGAAGTTTATTCCTCTACCTCTAGATGAATCTATTGTTGGTTGTCGGTGGTTGTATGCAGTCAAATTGGTTGACTTTAAGACCCATAGATACTCTTATTGACCTGATTATAAAATTTCTACCACAAAGAGAAGCCCTTTAGTAATCCTGAAAGGTATAGGTAGCTAATCGGTAAGTTGGACTATCTCACAGATACTTGACCTAACGTTGCTTTTCCTGCGAGTGTTGTAGATCAGTTTATGGAATCTCCATGTGATAGTCACTGGGATGCAGTTGTTCATATTGTTCAATGCATAAAATCATAGCAAAAAATTGCTTTATGAGGATAGAGGTCATGAGAAGATTGTTGGATACACAGATGCCGATTGGGTATGATCACCTTTTCATAGGCGATGTTTAGATATTGTGTTTTGGTAGGAGGTAATGTGGTGGAATCTTAGTGCAGAAGTTGAATACCGCGCAATGGTTGGGGCAACTTGCAAACTAATTGGATTAAGCAGTTGGTCAAAGAACTGAAGTTTGGAGAAATTAGTCAGATGGATTTTGTGTGCAATAACCAAGCTACTCTTCGTATTGCATCAAGTCTGATGTTTAATGAGAGAATGAAACATATTGAGATCAATTGTCACTTCAACAACGACAACAACAACAAGTGAAATCCCACAAGATGGGTAAGGGAAGGTAGAGTGTATGCAAACCTTATTTCTTCCTCCACGGGTTGTTTCCAAAAGACCCTCGGTTTTAGAGAAAAAACAACTCTTGGGAGACATTATCACAAAATTCGTGAGTCAAATGTTCAACTTATAGATATTTTCACCAAGTCCCTCGTATTAGCTACATTTGTAACAAGCTTGGTATATTGATTTATATGAACCAACTTGAGGGGGAGTATTGGAATCTCGTAGATATTCTACAGTATTTCTCGGATCTTGTAAATGTTGCACATCTTGATTTACTCCTATACGTGTGTAATTTGATTCTCTTTTCCTTTCTTAGAATATGTACACTTAGTTATTTAAACCCCAATGGTTCGAGGGAATAATCAGTTTCTCTCAATTCTCTTTCGTTTGTCTTACTTCCTAATAAGAAGAAAAGGTCATCAAGAGCAAAGCAGGAAAGCCAAAGCATAGAAAATCCAACAATTTGTGTCCTAGCTAAATACATATGTTAGAAGATGTATTGTATTATGTTACTTGGTACTGTCAAATCTTCAATTTTGACTATTTTCTGCTGATGCTTTTCCTCTCAGGAATTAAACTACAGTACCTTCACGCTCAACATTGTCTTCTCGTTGAGCCTAACCTACCTGTAAATTTACATTTCTTGTTGCTTAAACATCTCTCTTTCTTCATGTTGTTTGCTGTCCATTGTGGAAGGCCTTTAAACTTACCTGGTTTATTTAACTAACTGAAGTTAGCCGAGATCGAGAGCTTTCTTTACATGCAGCTCCTAGATTGTATAGAAGCTGATGGACCAAGGCTTAAAATACCAGACAGAGACGAGCTAGCTGGTCTTTTAAATGTTGCAAGTTCTCAAGAAGAAAAACGTTCCATCATTGAACTTCGTTTTAATTGTAAAAACTGGAGCAATATCCTATCTAGTATACCACAAAATTAAAACAGACTCGTTTGTTGCAATGTATGAGGTATAGAAGATCCATTTCAAAAGTTATATATACAGGCTTATAGTTGCAGAATATTGTTAAGCGGTTGATATCAGTAGTGAGCCGTAACATTAATTTGAGAAATGCCAGCACACAAAATTACCTTGAAGGAAAATGCCAAGGATAAAAAGTTTCAAGGTCCTAATCACAAATTTCAAGGTTGCCCCAGTTCTGTCTAAAACTATCTGCAGTTTTGAAAGAGGAAAAGGTTCAGAAAATGCTAAGAGCAACAACCACCTGGTGACAGGCATGATCTTACTAAGATGATTTAATTATAAATTGACAGTACATAGAGGAAACTCCTTATTTACAATTGCCATGGAAACTCCAACAACAAAGAGGAAGAAAGGCATTACAAAGTCTGCCAAGCGGACATCATTCCATGGGGAGTGAGCATTGCTGGGATAAATAGAACCAGCGTAATCCACAAGCATCATAAGCTGAAAGCAGCAAACAAATTAAAATCATAAGCTGTAAATCGGTTCCTACAAACGAGAAGGAAAAGAGAAGAAATCTATCTTAATATAAATGCGCACAGGGAGAGTTATCAGAATCATCGATAAAGAAACAAAGCAATCAATCCAAACCTTAAAGCAAGGTGTTAAGTAATTAAAGAAGCATCTTTACAATGGACTTTGAGAATTGT